TACTTTACCTTTAAATACGGTACGGTATATACAGTACCCTATCATTTATCTTTATATAACGGTACGGTTATCTTTATTTACGGTACCTAAGAGACTCTAACTTTAGCAGTGGACATCCATGTGTAATGGACAGGCTGCTCTGCTCAGTGGACATCCATGTGTAATGGGCAGGCTGCTCTGCTCAGTGGACATCCATGTGTAATGGACAGGCTGCTCTGCTCAGCGGACATCCATGTGTAATGGACAGGCTGCTCTGCTCAGTGGACATTCCATCAGCAGCCAATAGAGGCAGGCATTCACCACTGACCTGGTGTCGGTGATTGGTCACTGGTGTGACATTTCTTCTTTTGTTAACCAATATTTTTTTGAGTGCCCAAGCCACGGTGGCCGTTACAGGACTAATAGTTCACAATTCTTCATGCCCATTTTAAGAAATAAATATCATTAAAATAAGTATTGTTAAAAATACAATTGCGCCTTTATATTAATAAATGATCTAGTATTTTTACGGTCAAAAAATGATCAAATTATTGTTAGTTGATTGAATTGCAGGAGCGGAGGAGCCAATTAATTGAGTCATAAATAAATCGTGAATGGTTTGTTGAAATTTATTCATGTAGTACTAAATTAACTGTCCAATATTCTGTCCAATCAAGGACAACTGGTAGCATTTTTGATGAGCTTCGTCCAGTTATTCTGTCCAATCAAGGATATATTGGTACGGGAATACTAAAAATGGATTGATATAATGGCACATCCATTAAAATCCACGGCAATATAGAAAATCAAAATAAATAAAATTGTAAGATTTTATGACTGTTGGTATTAAAAAAAATCTCAGTAAACGATGCGCCGATGGGAATCCGGCCTTAAACTTGCGATTTTAAGCGGACCTTAAAAGCCTTAGAAGAAATTCAGTCAAGGGTATAAACAAGGAGTCAATTTCCGGCGCACGGCGCGTGCGTCATGTGCGCCGCACGATGCGCCGTCGTTTGTGTCTGCGCCTCGTCGAGTTATGGCGCACTTTGGCGGGCAGGGGAATTTTGGAGAGTACTCAGGGTAACTTGAGGGAGTTCGGGGTAATTTGGAAGGATTTGGGATAATTTTTGAAGGATTTTGGGTAATTTTGAAGTATTCGGGGTAATTTTGGAGGGTTTGGGGTAATTTTGAGGACTCGGGGTCATTTTGAGGGGTTCGTCGTAATTTTAAAGGGGTTCAAGATTTTTGAAGGATTCAGGATTTCTATAAGGGGCTCTGGGTATTTTAAAGAGTTCGGGCAATTTTAAGGGTTTCAGGAAAAATTGGAGTGTTTCAGGGTATTTTTGAGCAGTCCAGGGTAATTCTGAGGGCTTTGAGGGTAGGTGAGTGTAAATGAGTTAAAAGATGAATAATTTACTTTAAAATATTTGTTTCCGGCGTTATTTTATTTCGGGCTTTAGTTAAAGTGATTTAGAACAGAGATATTCTTACAGAAGAGAAAGATTTGTACAGAAGAAAATAATGTATGCCGAATGAACAAAATTAATGCGTAACTTGAAAATTAAGGCCAAAATTAATATTAATCTCAAAAAATTTCCTATCGAACAGGACAATTCATGTCGATTATAAAAATAGTAACCCAACCGGAAAATTAATATCAAACTATAAAATATTTACCTTAAAAGGTACAATAAGTATGATATGTTTGGATTGAAGAAAATTACAGTGATGAATTCTTATATGTTCATCGGGTTGTTCACAACGTTAACTCAATTAAGCTAAACGCGACAGCAATGAGTTAGTCAAAAAATTGATGTGTGAACCTTCCATGCAATAGCTGCTGCAAATAATAATAATAATGATGTTCAGTGTTCATTATTTATTCACGATAGCAGCCATTCACTATGTAATCACTATTTTTATATTTATTACATAATATCATTATATTACGCATGAGTTAGTTTAAATAATTTCCAGTGACTTGCTATTTAGCTTCCAATTTTCAGGTAAGTAATTTAACTTCTCCACAAGTTAGGACACTAAGAATTAGCTTCCAATTACCTATTTGGTCAGTATCAATTACCGGTTAAGTGACTCCTAAATAACAAGTAACCAGGAAAACAAACTACGGGGATAACAAAGATCCAGAAAGACTGAGATAACAATATTGTTGACCGCAAACGAGCGGCTGAGAACAATCAGCGCTAAGCTGGCGCTGTGGGCGGCTATTGTAGTCGCTTTAAAGGCCCAATGCTGGGCCAATGCTGGGCCATTGTTGCTATTGTCTTTGTTGTTGACTTTGCTATTGTGCTTTGGGGGCATGAGGGAAGTGTAAAGGAGGCGCCCGCGCCTTTGTTTTGGACTTCTACGCGCAGGTTGATTGAAAGTTTGCGAGGTTGAATTCATGCACATGCGTTCAATGAATATTATGCTGGGCTATGATGTTCATCCACTAAGGGAATATAGTATACACAATGCACGAACTGAATTCATGCAACATGCACGTAAACCTTTCCTAACAAAATTTAGATGCGTGCCCGACTCTGTACCAGGTGCTGCCCAAGACTCGGGGAGAACGTAAATCAGCCGCTGAAAGTCTGCTTCGGCTCTCGGTTTGAAGGGCAGCTTGTAAGGTTGGTATGACTTGACTAGGCTAACCCACGTCATACTCTCAGCACACACTTGTCATCCTCGCAGGCGACTACAAAGTCCGAAATTATATTCTGATCAGAAGCTGATTTCGATTAAGCAGACCCAGAGTTACATTGCGCCGAGTCTAGCGGCTATACAGCAAACGATTAGGCGGAATTTTTGTAGGAGTTTTGCGAAAACCTTGCACGTAAACTCAGGACATACACCATATACCACACCATACTAGGGACTAAAACTGAATAATCAATTTCATTTGAAATAAATTGGCAAAAATTAATTTCAGAATATATATCATAATTTTCAAAACGAATGGGTTTAGGATTGCTTATACGTGAAAAATTTGCATTAGGTTTATATGTAATCAGAACTAATATGTTCTGTTTGATAAATAGTATATGTAGGTCGATTGAAAAGAACTGCTAGCAAGAAAACGGGGCGAATGAAGGAATAAAGGGATAAAGTTCGGACGAAGTGAACAAAATAATGAGAGTAGCTGAGGAAAAAAGACACGCGAGAACGGCCAACGAGGAAAAATATAAGAAAAGTACCAGAAACAAAAGCCGGAAAGAAACAATCGAAAATTACTACCTGCTGATGGGAATAGATGAGAGTAAATTAGTGTAGGAAGCAAACAAGAAGCAGCTGCTGGGAACAAGCGTTGGGACAAAAGAGTGAACAAGAAGCAATCTTTGTTTCTTCTGGGCACAAATGAGGGAAAGGCTCACGGCTGAGGGGAACAATCGAGGGGAACAAGAGGAGGCCGAGGGTCGTCTAATTGACGCGCGTTGACAGCGTGTTTGTTTTGGGCAGAGTTTGAGGGCCATTGTTTGGCTGGCAAGGCAAGCCACGCTAAACATGGCTTTGATCAACGCTGTGTCGAGCGATGTGTGGTCTGTGTACTTCTGAGTGGTGCTGAGCTGTGTAGTGGTGTATAGTGGGGTAGTGGATGTGTGTGGTCTGTGTGGTGCTGTGGAGTGCGCTGTGTAGTGCTGACTGGTGGGGTAGTGGATTGTGTGGTCTGTGTGGTGCTGTAGAGTGAGCTGTGTAGTGCTGACTGGTGGGGTAGTGGATTGTGTGGTCTGTGTGGTCGGTGTGGTGCTGTGGAGTGAGCTGTGTAGTGCGTGTAGTGCTGAATGGTGAGATAGTATATATTTGTTGCCTTCGTTGTATTCGTGGGCTTTATAGTCGTGTATATTTCAAGTTTCAGACCTGTATAGTTCTGAATGTCATTATAATTGTGTGTTGGCGTGTTGTCTGTGACGTGCTGTATACTTTTTAACAAAGAATTATTGTGCTAAGTAACATGAAGCTACATTCAAATTGCGTGATGAGCTACAATTTTTCATATTATCGGACAATGTCGAATTAATGGAGCTGCTGTACTGTATAGTATTCATGATTTTATACAACTGTATAAAACTGCCATGTCTCGTCACACAGCACACAACACACAGCGGATTACAACAAATTACTAAAGTTCTGCTGCGTCTTATTTCTTCCCTCGCAGGAAGCGGCCAGTGCTGCGGACCCGATGGAGAGGGTAAAATAGAGGGTAACGGCGAGGGTAACGCTTGACTGCACCCGCCTTAGCGTCGTCGTAAATTACCGAACTTACGTCGAACGCAAGCGTTACGGTTATTTGTGAGCGTCGGCTACGTCTGGCGAGATTTGTGTGCCAGCGATGAGATTTTTGTATGAGGCTTGTGTGTCCAGTTGTATAGGCTGGACTAGTTGTGTAGGCTGGACCAGTTGTATAGGCTGGACCAGTTGTATAGGCTGGACCAGTTGTATAGGCTGGACCAGCTGTATACCCTGGACAAGCTGCGTAGGCTGGACTAGTTTTGTTGGCTGTATACCCTGGACCAGCTGTGTAGGCTGGACCAGTTTTGTTGGCTGTGTACCCTGGACCAGCTGTATAGGCTAGGTAATCTAGACCAGCTGTGTAGGCCAGCTGCGATCGGTCAGCAATAGATTATAATTTATCGCATATCGTCGGTTGTGTTATCGACGACACTGGAATGATTTACTGACGATACGCAAACTACGCACCAATAACTCGTCATACCTCCTGCGATCCACCGACGATGAGCAAACAAACTTTGGCGATACACAAATGTGTTACGAAATGCAGGCCTCATCGCCACCGTATCATCATCGTATCGCCACCGTATCGCCACCGTATCGCCACCGTATCGCCACCGTATCGCCACCGTATCGCCACCGTATCGCCACCGTATCGCCGCCGTATCGCCGGAAGCGCCGCTCGTGCGCCTGTCGCCGCCATTACGCCGCCGTCCGTCAGCGTCGATCCGCCGCCCCCGACGACTTCAAAATTTCCCATACAGAAAATTTATTGGCCCTCAAAATACCCGCGTTATGAGCTCGTGAGGGGAGCTGCCCCTCGTGATGGGCACGCGAGGGCAGCCGACCCTCGTGATGGGCACGCGAGGGCATCCGACCCTCGTGATGGGCACGCGAGGGCAGTCGACCCTCGTGATGGGCACGCGAGGGCAGCCAACCCTCGTGATGGGCACGCGAGGGCAGCCAACCCTCGTGATGGGCACGCAAGGGCATCTGACCCTCGTGATGGGCACGCGAGGGCAGTCGACCCTCGTGATGGGCACGCGAGGGCAGCTGACCCTCGTGATGGGCACGCAAGGGCATCTGACCCTCGTGATGGGCACGCGAGGGCAGTCGACCCTCGTGATGGGCACGCGAGGGCAGCTGACCCTCGTGATGGGCACGCAAGGGCATCTGACCCTCGTGATGGGCACGCGAGGGCAGCCAACCCTCGTGATGGGCACGCAAGGGCATCTGACCCTCGTGATGGGCACGCGAGGGCAGTCGACCCTCGTGATGGGCACGCGAGGGCAGCTGACCCTCGTGATGGGCACGCAAGGGCATCTGACCCTCGTGATGGGCACGCGAGGGCAGCCGACCCTCGTGATGGGCACGCGAGGGCAGCCGACCCTCGTGATGGGCACGCGAGGGCAACCTACCCTCGCAATTGGCACGCGAGGGAAATCAACCCTTGCAAGCAATTATTCATATTGCCACTCGATGTTCTGCCTCAACTACCAACTGGGTTTATCTGTATTTATTTAATGCACTTTGCACAATAAAAGTGATTTTCTTACTTTAAATATTTGCAATTAATGTTACTTGAATTAATGTGTTTAAATTCAGCGCAGTTTAAATTACCGCAAGTCCGGTTTGGTTTCAGCTACAGTTTTGGAACACTCGTGGTTCAATTGTGTTGAACCTGTACTTCTGCTGTACATGAGCAGCCGTATAAGAGCACCTTTACTTCAGCTGTACATGAGCAGCCGTACTCCAGCTATACATGAGCAGCCGTACTTCAGCTGTACATGAGCAGCCGTACTTCAGCTGTACATGAGCAGCCGTACTTCAGCTGTTCATGAGCAGCCGTACTTCAGCTGTACATGAGCAGCCGTACTCCAGCTGTACTTGAGCAACAGTACTTCAGCTGTACATGAGCAACAGTATTTCAGTTGTACATGAGCAGCCGTACTTCAGCTGTGCATGAGCAGCTCTACAAGCGGAGCTGTATATCGCTGTAGCAGCACATATAGCGCTGCTGTAGAGCTGTCGAAGGCATAGTTATAGTGCAATATAGATGTCACAAGAACAGCTTTATGCGCAGCGGCTGCTGCGGCTGTAACCTTCATGACAATTTACAGCTGTATTATCGGCGGCCAAACCATGGCCAGCCATAAAGCAGCTGTTATCTCCGACAGCCTAAGACGCTTCACAAGAAGCTTCCACTTCTCGCTTCACAAATAATATATAACAAATGCTGAAAAAATATGAATATAACGAGAACAGATGAAGAGATCTTTAAATTTGCACGCGAGTGTCGTGCCAATCTCGCCAATAACGGAGGTGTTGGCCACACTGATTGGTAGTTTTTGCGCTGACTCCCACCTAGCCTTTGCAATCTATTTAAATTAACGATTAAAATAGACTTTGGTCACAGAAAACTCGCTTAAAAAGTAATTGAAATATTTAAAATGAGGCGCTAATAATTAATATATATAAATTAGAATTAATTAAATTTTAAAATGAGGAGCTGATAAGTACAAAAATTTACAAGAATCGTTTCTCTGCCAAAATAAAATAATATTCTAGCGATCATGCAATCAAGGGGAAATGTGTTATTCTCAAAAGTCCTTATTAATAAATGTATATAATGAATATTGAATTTCACCGTTAATTAAACATGCATTTTGCATTTTTTACTGTTACTTTTATGCCCCATCGGAACGAAGCTAGTGTTTCGTCTTGCATTTTCCGATACCCGAAAAAATTTCGCCGCGGATCAAACCTCGACTTTCTATCGTCGTAACATTTACGACCGCTGCTGAAGCTTCTGATGAAAATTTATAATCGAACAATTATTGATAGTTAACTTCATTAATCATTTATCTATAAAAGGAAAATATTAATTACTTTATGGATCGGGCGATGCAACTTTTAGATGTTAATTTTGTCTCATTTATTTGAACATTTAAAAGATTAATTGAATTATTAATATTATTCATCAAAAGATGTTCATGACGTAATAAATGTTTTAAATACTATTTATTTAAATTTAAATATTCGGATGATTAATTGAATGATTCAAAATTCATTATATTACCCTAAAAAAGAATCAATAAAAAATAAAAATTACTTAATTTATATAAATCAGATTGATTAATATTAATCGGAACTTCGAAACTGAAAAGTTTTAACGAAAAAAATTCATTTGAGTTCATAATCTAACTTCATTTGAGTTCCATTATAAGTAAAATGGGTAATTAGATCAATTCTCTCAATTTATTTAGGACAGAGAAAAGAAAGTTAAGATGACGATAATGAAGTTAGGAAAGCTAAAAATTTTCTTAAATAGAGAATCGATAGAAGACATTTATGACAGGTGATGGTTTTTTAATAATAGGCAATCGTTTTTGAATTAGTTGATGTATAGGTTAGACCGCTTGGCAAATGTGATATAATGCAGGGATATTATAAAAAATCTGAGAATTGAATTAAATTTTGCTGAAGATTTGATGACTTTTTCTCTGCCTTTAAATTCCAGCGACGCATCTTTTGCCCTTGGGTCATTCTGACGCAATCTGGCCGAGTATCAGTGATAGGGGCAAAAAGTGAGTCGCTTTTTGAACAATATAACTCAATAGTTTTTCTGAGTGCTCGGTCTCCGTTGATATTTCATATATTATTAAAAAATATAACTCAGTACTCACTGCAGTGAGTGACAGAGAGCGCATTTTCTCGTCGACGAAAACTTGAGGTCACAGACGGACGGACAGACAGACAGACAGACAGACGGACATGGCTAGCATAATAGTGCATTTTTTCCATAAATGAGAAAATGCGCTAAAAAGATTTGAGTCTTCTCATATTTTGTGATTTTTTTTTCTCAGCCACGTGTCGTGGTTGAAACGAGCTGCCTACCCTCACATGTGAGGGGAAATGGACGTGAGTGGACCAGGTGAGACTGCTTACAGACCCTCACATATGCCCTCACACTTCTTTTAGCGTGTAATTTTCCGCAGACACCTTTACCCCCACATAACCCACATATCTATACACATGTTGCATTATTTGTAGCATTTCTTTATCATTACCCTCACTATTAATTATCATCGTCGAATCATTGTTTGATAATTGGGCATTTGCAGATTATTTTCAATGATATTATTTTAATATATCAGGTAACTCTACGTATAACTATGTCTTAATATACGCATGAAGTGCCGTACATATACGCGCATGATGAGGCGCAGGAAGAGGCGCATGAAGAGGCGCACGTGTACGCATAGCTTAGCTCGTGTTTACGCTCGCTTAAAACAATGCGCGTGCGCCTCCCTTTTGTTTTGCGTACAACAAACAAGGCCGACTTGCGAACACTTACGTTAACACAACACATTGTGTTAACACCACACATTGTGTTAACGCCACACATGGTGTTAACGCCACACATTGTGTTAACACCACACATTGTGTTAACACCACACATTGTGTTAACACCACACATTGTGTTAACACCACACATTGTGTTAACACCACACATTGTGTTAACACCACACATTGTGTTAACACCACACATTGTGTTAACACCACACATTGTGTTAACAACTGTCTCTTATACACATCTAGATGTGTATAAGAGACAGCCCTAAACCTCCCTCTCCCCTCACCATATTATTCATACAGTCTCTGCCCCTGTCTCTTATACACATCTAGATGTGTATAAGAGACAGTCCTTACTCTTTAGAAGCCGTGCATGGTTTTTAAATAAGAGCTCTGCTTAGCTCTTTAAAAAGACTATGCTTACTCTTTAGAAGCCGTGCATGGTTTTTAAATAAGAGCTCCTATTCATTAAAGAGCATAGCCTTTCTTGGTTCATTACTTCACTAGTCAAATAAGAGCGTGAATATATCCTTAACAAAAAAACTTCCAACTACCATGTTTGAACACGAGTTTCACTGACATTCAAATTAACTGTTTTTCCACTCAATTGGTACGTCACACTTTATTTAAATTAACTGCGCACCTTCTCAACTTTCATGCTAAAAAAGTTTGGTTTCTCTCTTATACAACTTGAACGCGCTGTGCATAAACTTAAACAGTTTGTTTGCTTTGCTTAAATCTGAACTTTCTCTTTAAACGAGACATCTTTTTTGCTAACTAACTAAAACATCTTTTTTACTATCTAGAACATATTTTTAGTTAACTTCTTATAATATAACAATAGTAAATTTTCATGTAGCTACAAGTATATTAAAACAATAGCGCAATTCTGTGTCCTCATATCAAAATAATATAATTTGAATATAAAAAATCGCAATTTTGAAATGACAATTTATAAATAATAACAATTGTAGAGCGAAATTGGATCAGCGATGGCTTTTGGACGGTTGAGCTCTCTAAAAAGACGAGCTCTTTAAACAGACGAGTTCTTTGAAGAGTTAAGGTTCTTAAATCGAAGCCCTCACAACGCGTGAGCTCTTAACGAGGGTTGACGCTTAATTTTCCACTGAGATAGTGAGGGTGTGAGGGTATGTGAGAGAGAGAGAGGGAGGTGAGGGTATGTGAGGGAGAGAGAGGGAGATGAGGGTATGTGAGGGACAGAGAGGGTGGTGAGGGTATGTGAGGGAGATGAGGAGAGTTGAGGGCATGTGAGGGAGATGAGGAGAGGTGAGGGTATGTGAGGGAGATGAGGAGAGGTGAGGGTATGTGAGGGAGATGAGGAGAGGTGAGGGTATGTGAGGGAGATGAGGAGAGGTGAGGGCATGTGAGGGAGAAGAGAGAGTGGGTTCAATTTAGAAATAATGAATATGAGAGCAAAATGATGGTGGATAGAAATATTGTGAATGTGGGACGGTGAGGGGAGGTGAGGGGAGGTGAGGGGAGATGAGGGGAGGTGAGGAGGGTGAGGGCAGTGAGGGGAGGTGAGGGCAGTGAGGGTGTCGCTGATGAGACGCATTGTCTGTAGCGGCGCTAACGCTACGCGCAATTAGCGCCTCCAGCGTCACTGCACGCGCGCTGCTAGACGGCCTTTGGTTCCCTCACTTCCCTCACTTTCATCTCTTTTTATCAAGCTTCTGTTATCTTTCTTACATCTAATATCATACTCCTATTTCCCACCCACTTTACTCCCCTTCTTTTCATGCCCAGACTTTATTTTCCGTTTCATCCCGTCATTTACGCTTCACGGTCAGTATTAAGCATATTCCTTATTATTCCCTTTATCCCTTAACCCATAATTTATCCTTCTTCTCCATCACCCAACTCTCATCCATCATCCCTTGTACCACCATCCGTCCTCCAGCACCATTCTTTCTCTTCTTTTGATACTGATTTTCTTCATATTAATTCCGCAGCAGAACAAACAGCAAAGAACAGCACTAACAGAACTATTAGCAGCAACACCAAAAGCACTGGCAGAAACACCAGCAGAAGCATCAGCAGCAACACAACCGAACTAATATCACTAACAGCTCAATTAGCATCAGCAATAACAGCACCAACAGAGACACTAACAGCAGTAACAACAGCAGCAGCTCTGTGACACGTGACAGAAGCTGTCACAAATGAGGGTCATTGTGACGAGATTGAGTCATGTCGCCCCGAGGGGAGACGCGCAGCATTGACATGCGTGGGCGCCGCCGTCACTCACTTGATGAACTTATTATCTCCCCTCACCCCTACCCTCTTATCTTCCCTCACCCTTACCCTCGTACCTCCCCTCATCCCTACCCTCGGATCTCCCCTCACCCCTACCCTCGTATCTCCACTCATCCCTACCCTCGGATCTCCTCCACCCCTACCCTCGTATCTCTTCTCACCCCTACCCTCGTATCTCTTCTCACCCCTACCCTCGGATCTCCTCCACCCCTACCCTCGTATCTCTTCTCACCCCTACCCTCGCATCTCCCCTAACCCCTACCCTCGTATCACCTTCACTCATACCCTCGTATCTCCCCTCACCCCTACCCTCGCATCTCCCCTCACCCCTACCCTCGCATCTCCCCTCACCCCTACCCTCGTATCACCTCCACTCCTACCCTCGTATCTCCCCTCACCCCTACCCTCGTATCTCCCTCCCCTCACCACTACCCTCGAACCCCTCACACCTAACCCCACGTACTCCTCACACCTAACCTCAAATCCCTTTCACTCCTACTTCTAACATCCCTCACCTCAATAGTACCTCCCCTCACTCAAACTCCCTCATTCCTCTCATCCCACCCCCACATCTCTTCGCCCTTTCACTATATACAGTAGTATCTCCCTTCAACAATACCCTCGTATTTCCCCTCACCCTAAACCTCCCTCTCCCCTCACCATATTATTCATACAGTCTCTGCCCCACGTGCTACTACAATTGAATTTTATCATAACCCTCATATTAGCCCCTGCCTCATCTTACCCTCACTTCCCCTCACTCCAGCTATTGAACTAAATTACTCCGAAATTCACACCAGACGTCGCCGGCGAGGGGAGGTCATGCGCCACTGAGAGGGTTGAGCAAGGGTTGAACGCCAGCATAAATGGGTTAAATAAACTATACGAGGGTTGAACGTGAACATAACAATAATTTTTAAACCCAAGTGGGTCAGAGGTTAACCCTATAGAAAGGCAAGGGCTGAACCCAAGCAGAGCAAGGGCTGAACCCAAGCAGACCAAAGGCTGAACCCAAGCAAGGCAAGGGCTGAACCCTAGAAAGGCAAGGGCTAAACCCAAGCAGGGCAAGGGCTGAACCCAAGCAGACCAAAGGCTGAACCCAAGCAAACCAAGGGCTGAACCCTAGCAGGGCAAATACAATCTGATTTCAGCCCAGATTGTGAAAGGCGTTACACTCATATGAATGAATGGGCTGTTGTCTAAATTTCGACTCACTTTCGTACCCACCAAGCAGGCTTAGAAAAAACTTTGCACTAATTCGCCTTTTTTCCGGGCCAGTATGACCTACACAAGTGTAGAAATGGCATCATTATTTTGGACAACATCTAACTCATTTCTTTTAGTGGCAAAGAGCGCACCGAAGGGCTGAACCAAAGTGAGGGCTATCTGAGGGCTGTGCAAATCACGTCATGATTTAGTATGGCTAGAGATGTGGCTTGTGAGAATAAATGAGGGCAAGTATGGAGGGTGCGAGGGTACGAGGGCAAGGTGTGAGGGTCAGAGGAAGTCAGGCGATGATTCAATTGACTCTGACAGAAGTAAGAACATCGGTCGCCAGGGTAAGGGTTGAGGGAGGATTGAGCGAGGGTTGAGGAAGGATTGAGCGAGGGTTGAGGAAGGCTTGAGCGAGGGTTGAGGGAGGCGTGAGGAAGGTTTGTGGTAGGGTTGATGAAGCTTTGAGATAGGGTTGAGGGAGAATTGAGAGAGGGTTGAGTGAGGTTTGAGGGAGATTTGAGGGTGGGTTGAGGGAGGTTTGAGCGAGGGTTGTGTGAAGATTGAGATGGGTTGAGGGAGGGTTGAGGAAAATAAACAGAAAATGCTGGCGTGAATGTATTAAATGGATTAAAAGGAACAACTACAGTGATGCCTGAGAAAGGGTTGAATAAAAGTGAGGGTAGGGGTGAGGGTTCGACCCTCAAATTGAGGCAATCACGAAGCAATTGGCACACGAAGCGTGGGATTGCTGGTTGTTTGAGACGCCTTTCGAAGCCCTCACAATATGAGGGCTACCTCACAATACGGGAGCATCTCACGATACGACGACTAACTCACAATATGAGGACTACTCTTCATAATACGACAGCTACCTCAAATTACAAGGACTAACTCATAATATGAGGACTAACTCACAATACGACGGCCACCTCACAATACGTCGGTTACCTCACAATACGATGACTACCTCACAATACGATCACCTCACAGTACGACGGCTACCTCACAATACGACGGCCACCTCACTATAAGACGGCTACCTCACAATACGACGGCTACCTCACAATACGACGGCTACCTCACAATACGACGGCTACCTCACAATACGGCGGCCACCTCACAATCCGAAGCCTAACTCACAATACAAAAACCAAGTCATAATCCCATGGTCACCTCACGGCATACCTTTTCTGTATTTTTAACATCCGTCTTAATCATTTCTTGTTGCCGAGACCCACTTACATCACGTCGTGTTTATGATGTAGATTTAATTTATTTTACTATCATTTATCATGCAAAATACATATAGAACTTTAATTTTCGTCGGTGTCACTAGTATCACTGGTGCAACACTAGGAGCACTATTCGCACTATTCGCACTAGTGGTGGTAGTGTCACTAGTGCCACTAGTGCCACTAGTGTCACTAGTCGCACTAGTGACACTGGTGTCTTTAGTATCAAAATCTGCCACCATTGTGTCTTCCCAGCCACAAGGGGATCAGGACGCGACAGAACCGCCTCAGGGGGGATTAGTGAGGGGAACAAAAGCTGCCCTGGCAACACCAGCAGCATCTGAAGCTCAAGCTGCAACACCAGCAGCTCCAGGAGGAATATCACCAGCACCAACAACACCATCACCAGCAGCTACACAAGCAACACCAGCAGCAACACCACCAGCTCCACCAGTAACACCAGCAGCACCAGCAGCAACACCACCAGCTCCACCAGTAGTACCAGCAACACCACCAGCTCCACCAGTAATACCAGCAACACCAGCAGCTCCTAAATCACAAGCCACGACACCAGCAGCACTTGGACTTCAACACCTCATAATAAAATCGGCCAATGCCATAATCGGCGGATACCTCAGCAAAAATTGGGTAACGTCAAGTCTCCTGAGCAGGAGTCTAAACAATCGGCTTCGAATTATTATGGGTCTGATTAGACACCTGATCGAACTCAAACACTGGTTAGAATTTCCTTTCGGTCTTTCGACGACTTGAGAGCGTCCTCAGAGTATAACAAGGGTTGGTTTGGCCAAGATTTACCTAACTTGGAAGCTGCCTGATTAAAAGCTGCATTTTGGAGCCTGGAGCCGAAGTGGACATAGAGCTTCCGATTAACGTACTTCCGGAGTCCTGTACGGTATCTTCTGTGGTAGATTTGGGCCCGTATCCAAATTTTGTTGGGGTTGTCTTGTCAGGGTCGGCCGATAGCCGTGGTAAGAACGGCCGACAACCGTGGTAGGGTTGGTCCATATAGCAGGGACGACTGACATCAGGGCTGGTCGACCGCCGTTTTAGGGTTGGTCATTATAGTCACGTAATAGACTGTTGTCCATTACGCAGCAGTGTTATCCAGCAGTTTTTTCTACGTACTGGACAAGACTGTTGATAGTCTTAGCAGGGTCTGCCGACCGACGAACATTCTGACCCATGTCAGACCCAAACATCAAAACCAACCCCATAACAGAGTCTCTGAACAAGAAGACCCCTTATCAAGACTCATACAACAAGACCACACATCAAAACCATACAACAAGGCATCTCAAGACCCCATGTTAAGACCCCCAAGACCCCACGAGGGGCTAGGCCGTCTGAATGCCTGGCTAATTACGAAGGTAAATCTTGGTCGAGATTTTTGGAGGAGCGGCGCGAGACAAAGAGCCTAATCCGGCACAGCCTGCACAGCTTAATCCTGTCTCTTGTTGTCTTGATTGTAGAGCAGCACAACGTGTACAGCCTGCACAGCTTAATCCTGTCTCTTGTTGTCTTGATTGTAGAGCAGCACAACGTGCACAGCCTGCACAGCTTAATCCTGTCTCTTGTTGTCTTGATTGTAGAGCAGCACAGATTTCACAGCCTGCATAATTTAACGTACCAGCACAGCTTTCGGAGCATGCACAATTTTGAGACTGCACAGCCTATTAAGCTGTGCAGTCTCATATTCTGCATAATTTTTGGCCTAATATTTGTATTAAAATTCTGCTTCCAGCTCTCAGGCCTATTTGGCTCTGAATAGGCCTAGGCTGAATGTTATTTTTTTCGGATCACAGCTTCGAGTGATAAAATAAAATTATCTTTAGTGACACTTCCATGTGTTGCGATATAGTGATGTATGCACATGAAGTTAATGTGAGATATAACTGTCGAGTGCGGTGCGCATGTGCGTCGTGTATGCGTGTGCGTGTGTGGTGTTTACGATCAACCAACGCCATGCTTGTTAAATCAATTTTGCGAGAATTAAACCTAACCAAACATGGCCTAACCTAACCTAACCTACCCTTACCCAAAATCACCCAGAAAAATCCAACGCAACACAACAAAAACAATTCTGTACTTTAGTACAACCAAACCCTACATTAGACAACATAACATAACACAACACAACACAACACAACACAACACAACACGACACAACACAGCACATGTCAGCTGTCACCGGCAGAGCGACTAGTCGCGCGCGTTCGTCGCCGTTGCCGCTGCGGGGGAGCTACGGCTTTCGAACTTCTGCGCCGGATTGATCGGGGTGATGACTGCATCTTTCATATCTGCAGCTGTGATAACTGCAGCTGTGTGAGTATCCTGGATACGCGCCCCAACAGCCCCTATATATTGCGGCGCCATAAGTATCCTGGATACGCGCCCCAACAGCCCCTATANCCGTATCAGCTGCAGCAGCCGTATCAGCTGCAGCATGCAGCAGCCGTATCAGCTGCAGCAGCCGTATCAGCTGCAGCAGCCGTATCAGCTGCAGCAGCCGTATCAGCTGCAGCATGCAGCAGCCGTATCAGCTGCAGCAGCCGTATCAGCTGCAGCAGCCGTATCAGCTGCAGCAGCCGTATCAGCTGCAGCATGCAGCAGCCGTATCAGCTGCAGCAGCCGTATCAGCTGCAGCAGCCGTATCAGCTGCAGCAGCCGTATCAGCTGCAGCATGCAGCAGCCGTATCAGCTGCAGCAGCCGTATCAGCTGCAGCAGCCGTATCAGCTGCAGCAGCCGTATCAGCTGCAGCATGCAGCAGCCGTATCAGCTGCAGCAGCCGTATCAGCTGCAGCAGCCGTATCAGCTGCAGCAGCCGTATCAGCTGCAGCATGCAGCAGCCGTATCAGCTGCAGCAGCCGTATCAGCTGCAGCAGCCGTATCAGCTGCAGCAGAAGTCCTGCGCGGGAACAAAGCGCGTCCGTTCAGCGCTCTGATTAGCGATGATTAGAGGGCGAGCCGCGCGACGCGTGCGCGACGTGTTGATTAGCAGCGCGACGTGTGGCTACTGTGGCGGTGACGTGTGGCTAGTGTGTCAGTGGCGTGTGGCTAGTGTGGCAAAATCGTGTAGCGACTGCGGCAGCGACGTGAAGCAAGTATGATGGTGACGTGAAGCAAGTGTGATGGTGACGTGTGGCTAGTGTGTCAGTGACGTGTGGCTAGTGTGTCAGTGACATATGTGGCTAGTGTGGCGGAGAGGTGTGGCGAGTACGGTGATGAACTAAACTGCAACTGAAATTCAATAGCATGTAAATGAAATAAGATTAAGTGAAATAACCTGTAAGTGAAACAACCTGTACTTATAATTCACTAACCTGTAACTATAATTCATATGAGCCGCCGTAAGCGCGACGTCGCGCACGATGCGTCGCGCCGCGCGGCATCCAAACGCGCGATTAGCGGCGCAATAAATCGCGTCGCGCGGAGTGCGACGCGACGACGCATTACGCCGTGACCTATGACCTGACCTGCGTGATGTACGGTGACACGCACAGCCTCACGCGCACAGCCTTCACACGCACAGCCCTCACACGCACAGCCCTCACACGCACAGCCCTCACACGCACAGCCTTCACACGCACAGCCCTCACACGCACAGCCCTCACA